AGAAAAATAGTATCCACCTGCTGGATTTGTTCGCGGCTGTATCCGGATCCCCCAGAACAGAAGCCGGCACCTAGCAGATGCTCAAGAAATATTTACTGAGTCAGAGGTTGAATGGGTTGGTTTTTGTCCTCTGTTGGCTCCTGCCAGGACCCCATCTGTCCTGTATGCCCTCCCTACGACCAGCACTGCCAGTGCATCAGTTTCTTTAGGCTCAATCCAGTATGTTTACACTCTGAAGGGAAAGAGGCAGTGGAGAAATAAGAGTTGTTCTTTTTTTTTTTAAGATTTTTATTGGGGAATTGGGGGAAGGGGAACAGACAAGTTGCTGTCCTTTTGTTCTTCAGTCACGTTGTAGAGGACATTGCTTCACTGGCCCATGTTGGTATTATCATTGTGCTCTTCCTGGATGAGGCAGATTGGTTGCCGGCCTCTGCACAGCCGCTCACAGCGGCCCTTGGAAGCTTACACCGGTGTCAGGCGATCACGCTGGCTGCTGGCCACACACAGTAGCTTATGGCAGCCCACTGCAGCAGGGGCTACAGCCTATGCCGTCACTGGCGACTCATGGCAGCCCAGCTCCAGGTGGAGTTGTTGTTCACCATCTGAGCTGTAGAGGGCAGTGTCACTGGCCCTCATGTGGGATCCGAACCGGGGCCCTGATGTTCAGAGCTGGCATCCCAATTCAGCTCTTAACCAACACACCACTCGGCTGGCCCGAAATAAGAGTTTTGAAGACATATTAGGGTGCCCTTTGCATTGTCTTCCCAGAGCTATCTGTAGCGGGGAGAATCAACAATGGATTTTAGCAGTGACATACATACTTATGCTTGGGGGTACAGGGAGAATCTGCTAAGTGCTTTCAGCCATAAATGAAAAGCCAATGACCACCCAAAATCACTCAGGGAAATCCAAGAGGAATATACACAAAAGGGAGTGGAAGATTTTACTTTATATTATTATTTATTTTTTAGATTTCATTGGGGAATTGGGAAGGGGAACAGTGCTGGGGAATTGGGGAAGAAGAATAGCCAAGTTGTTATCCTTCAATCTTAGTTGTGGAGGGTGCAGCTAGCTCAGCTCAAAGTCCAGTCGCCATGTGGCCACCCATAGGCAGCTCAGCTCAAGTGGTTGTCTTCAATCTAGTTGTGGAGGGCGCAGCTCACTGGCCCCTGTGGGAATTGAACCAGCAACCCTGTTGCTCAGAGCAAGAGCTCTAACCAACTGAGCCACTGGTCCGCTCCAATTCCCCTGTTCTGAAACCTTAGATGGTTCAAGATTCTAATCCCCAGGTTTTGTAGGTTAAATAGTGGAAGGCTTTTCTAAAGGGAACCTCTTAAGCTGGGGTAAAACACCATGGCTTGTTCTTGCCTTTACCTTGATTCTCCTAATACTGTTCATTCTGTCCCACCCATCTTCCGTTTATCCAGGTCAAGTAAGAAATGACATGCTTAACTCCACAGTAATCTTTATCTCATATCAGAGTCACTGAGTTGGTCAACAATTTGCAGATTCCTGGACTCCCTTTCAGGCCTACTACATTAAAGTCTGGGGTTTGGCCTGAAAATCTGCATTTTAAACAAACTACAGTTAATTGTTAATAATATACTAAAAATCTGAGAAACTCAGCTCTTAACCCCTTTAGAGAATTTGTCATACTGCTTGGCATTGGACTGACTCCTGGGTGTTTGATTAGTATTTGTGTAATATGAAATTAAAATCACAAAGTCACTACCTCCCATCCCCAATAAAATAAAATACATGATGTTGTCATTTTTTTAGAGTACCCTAGATGTCTTTCAGAATTCCACAATCTGGATTTGTTCATGATTCAAGTCAGTTTGAATATTTCAGGGAATGATAATAGATATTGTATCCTTCCTAATGTGTGTCATCAAGAGGTCCATCATGTCTGTTGGCACCCACATTGGTGATATAAAGTTTGATCACTTTGTTCAAGAGTCTCAGTTCTTCTTGCCAACACAATGAAGAATCAAAGGTCAGCAATTACCTGATTGGTATGCAAACAGGGTTTATTAGTGATATATTCTCAGGGGAGAGAACTGGCCTAGCCAAGGTTGGAGAGAGGCCTAAGCCTCCAGTATTAGTGATACATTCACAGAGAAGAAAATGGGCCTAGCCAAGGTGGGGAGATAGGGAGAGAGAGAGAAAGGGGGAGAGAGTGAGGGCAAGAGAGCTCAAGGGCCAGAGAGAGAGAAAGAGGGAGAGAGAGGGAGAGAGAGAACTCTTGTCCGGAGCAAATTTATAGTTTGCTGGGTGGGGTGAGGGAGTTACATGTTGAATTGGCGGGAAAAGTGGTGCATGCTCTTCCACCCCAGAACGTGGCCTCCTAAGATGGGTGGAGTCTGTTGACTCAGATCCTTATCTTGCTCCGGACCTCCTCTGGTCATCTGTTGTTGTAGAAACCCATAAGTGGCTGGAGGCAGTTAAAGCTAGCTAGGAGCTTTTGCTCTAGGCACTATGGACCCCCTCCACCCCTCCTCCTACATTTTCTAACTGCCATCTAACAACTTGGTTCAGGTGGCACCCCCAGACATGTCCATTATAAAGGCAGCTTTTCCCTTTGAGTTTAGCAAGTTGACGCTCCCCCAAAACTCAAAATGCTGTAGTCAGGGTTAAATCTCAGATCTGTGTGTGACCTCTGAGGCTGTGCTGATGATGCCATCGCAGCACCTCTTCCTGCAGCATCACCTCAAACACGTTCTTTTTATCAGCGTGTAACATGTCACATACGTAATTTTATTTTTACAGATTGGTGGTGCTTTGAAATTTTCGCTTCACTATTACAAGTAAATCTTGGTACAGGTTTCTGTTTCTTTAAGATAGCTTCCCAGAAGTGGGATTATTGGGGAAGAGGATATATACTCCTTAGAGGTTTTTAATCCTAGAAAGGTGCCATTTTGCACTCCCAGTAGCAGAGGACAAGCATGCCAATGTCAGCTAGCTCGCCAGCAACGCCTCCTAACTTTTAAGCAATTTTTGCCATTTTGAGATGTCAGACTACTGGTAAAGTTGAACTCTGTAACTATAATGTTTCAGCTCTTTGTGACAAGAAGGGGAAAAAAGGCAATGTCATTTCCTGGGAAAGAAGAAGTTAGCAAAAGTTCCACAAATCTTTTAGAGAAAGTCATTTTGAGCCAATTTACAAACAGTGTCCTTTACATTAAGCAGGTAGCTCCAGAGCCTAAATCCCCCACCAGAAGGGAAGGGATGCAGTTTTGTAGGCCACATGGATTTGGTTCCCTGGTCAAGGATTACATATTAAAACAAAAAGCTGGGCCAGCCGAGTGGCTCAGCTGGTTAAGAACTCGCTTGGGAGTGCCCGTTCTGAACAGCAGGGCAGCGGTTTGGATCCCACATTGAGGGCCAGTGACGCTGTGCCCTCTACAGCTAAGATGATGAACAACAGCTCAACCTGGAGCTGGGCTGCCATGAGTGGCTTGCGGCTGGCAGTGGGCAAGAGCTGCCATGAGCCACTGTGAGCAGCCGACCAATGACCAGCGACCGATTGCCTCACCCAGGAAGAGCGCAATGATCATACCAACACAGGCCAGTGAAGCAACGTCTTCCACAACTAGACTGAAAAACAAAAATCCCAGCAATTTGTCTACCTGTCTGTTCTTCTCCCCCAATCCCTCAATAAAATCTTAAAAAAAAAAAAAAAAAGCTGACTGTCCTCTCTGTGCCCTGGGATAAGGTGGGGGAAGGGAGCTCTGTTACCTAGGTGATTGGTGTTGCCCTCTATCGCCCCAGTTTTGGGAGCAGCAAAGGCTGAGTTACCTATGGGAAGGTTCTTGAACCCCCTATCCACTATCCACCTCCTACTCTCAGAGCTATAGGGAGTGTTCATAAAACCTGAGCCTTCTTTTTTAGGCTGTTCCAGACCCTGCTCACCAATTCCCCCACACCTCCCCACTAATTCCTGGTGATCACAGAGGTGAATGGAAAACGGGCTCCCTACCTTGTCCCAGGCCAGTTTCTTCATACTTGGGTTTATTAAGACAGGGGATTGTAATGGTGGTGATATAGGATCCTAGTGTCTGGTACCCGGAATCATGGTCTCATATACCTGAAGAATGAGAATGTGGACTCGCAAGGAGAGGTAGAGGAGCAAAGATGTTTATTGAAGCGAAAATACTGCTCTCTTATGAGAGGTGGTACCCGAAACTGGGATGTCCACTGGCTAAGGCAAAAGGCTGTTACTTTTATGCTTTCTCTTGCATGCTTGGAGAAAGGAATTGGCATCTTCTAATGGATTTTGTCTATCAGATTCGCTCTGTTGTTCAGCTTAAAGAATTTAGGAAGTAACCTTTTTATCCCCAGAGCACAATTACATTTTTGCCCTGGAGCAAATGAGTCATTTCAGAATGTGGATTTCCAAGATATGACTGTGTTTGTATTATTCTACCATGAACTTCCCAGTCTACCTAACGACATGCTAGCTAACCTGCCTCAATGGCACTAAATCTTCTATTTTGAGATTTGGATCTCTGGTATAATTCGATTTACCAGTGTAATCTGGCTTGCTGCTCTTTGAAAGCTGTCTTTGGCTCTGCTTGCTGTACATTTACTATACACACTAGTTTCAATGCTTCACGCTGACCCTGTGATTTGGGAAGGGCTTTGCATCTGTACAGGTCCCACTCCTGGCTCCAACTTAAATCTACATAACATATGCAAAGGTTGTAATAATCAGTTTAACTGCACATTCCTCACTCCAAAGGATAAAGCCAAGCTTAATAGAAAATTCCACAGCAGAGCAAAGCAATTGACATCCTGGTTAGAAAACATAAAGCTTCAGATAAAACAATCTCTAGGCAGTAGTTTCCAGCAGACTTGGACCAGCCGACCCTTCTACTTTAAGAAATCTTTCTTCTGTATTTCTACCTGATTCAGGAATTCTTTCACAACCTATGAGTGAGCAACCACAACAGGGTTTATGATTAACAGACAAATATCCTGGATGCCTCCAGCGTCTGAGCCCCTGGAGTGGAGCATGCTCTGTACAGTTATCCTGGTTGCCATTCAGAGGCTGACGGGAGAGGCCCGGCTGAAGCCACCCTCAACACTCAAAGCTTTTGTGGTATCAGGTGAGAGGACATGGGTGGAAGAACAGTGTTCTCTAGTGTTGCATGGATCCCCACGCCCTCTTCTGGGTCTCAAGGATGGGCCATTTTTGTTTGGCTCTTATGCCTGCTCAGAAGCCTAAAAATTTGCAATCAAGGGGAAAGAACCCTTTGCTGAAACCTGTTCTTGGAAACAGGATTCCTGCAACGTATGGTCCCTGGGAGAGGGACCAAAGGGTGGGGAACATGTGCTCTGGCTGCTGCTGCTGAAACAGGGCTCAGTTGGCACCCCCATAGTAGAGGCCTCCACTTCCAGGCCTCACCTTTTCTTGACCTACCTATAGCTTAACAATAGATCATCCCCCTGCAGCTTGAGCTCAGAATGTCCCCTGGCCCACCCAGTTCCCTGCTTTAGAAAACTACCCTGAACCTTATGATTAATGCCCTTAGGCTTATTGATCACAATCTCAACGGCCAACCAGGCTGATCCCATCATTATTCCTGGGTTGTGACCCCCCACAGCCTCTGGGGGAACGCACAGATTTTCTCTTAAAAATCCCAAGCTGGTCTGAGAATGTTAAGGCAGTTGTTGGAGGTGTTAACCCGCTGCCTTCTCAGAGTACGGGTGCTCTGATAATAAATGCTTATTCTATGACCCAACTCCTATGTTGGTCTATTTGCTGAGTGGCACAGGCAGCATGAGCTCTGGACTCATTTGGCCTCCGGTTTCACTGTCACCCCAAGGTACCAAGGAAGCTGTGAGCCAGAAAAAGAGAGAAAAGAGGGTATCGGAGAGGATAGTCTACATGCCAGAGCTTTTTTATGTTATTTTATTAACCCTCAAATCAACCTTTGATTTTACCTTGTTCTATAGATGAAGAAACACAGGCTCAAAGAGGTTAACTGCCATACCCAAGGTCACACAGCTGGGATGGGATGGAATCAGGGTCAAATGCTGGTCTCTCTGACCCTATACCTTCTCCCACTGGCTGTGGTCTACTTCCTCTCAGACAAAAGCAGAAAGACATGTCCTTGAGCAGGGTCTGTCTGGTTCCTGGGAGCTAGGAGAGATAGGGTTTCTCACATGGCTTCCTCTCTCTTCCCCAGGGCTGTCAAGACAGAGTGCAGGGACGTCTAGTTCTCTCTGGTGGATTTTGAGATTCAGATACAGCAGTTTTCCATGGCTCCTTATTACATCCGCAAATACCAGGAGAGCGACCACCAAGGGGTCCTGGGCGTGTTCTCCCAGGGTGTGGTGGAACACGCCCCTACCGCCTACTACCACGTCTTGAAGCTGCCGAGAACCTTTGTGCTTTTGCTTGGGGGACCCATCGCCCTATTCCTGGTCTCTGGGTCCTGGCTCCTGGCCCTCATGGCCGGCCTCACCCTTCTTGCTGCCTTGAGGTACTTTGTCAAATACCCCTGGACCCAGTTTCTGGTCGATGCTTTGCATACAGACATGTCTGACATCACCAAATCCTACATGAGTGAGCGTGGATCCTGCTTTTGGGTGGCCGAGTCTGAGGGGCAGGTGGTGGGCACAGTGGGAGCTTTGTCCATTGAGGACCCCAGCCTGTGCAAGAAGCAGTTGCAGCTGCTTCACCTAAGTGTGGCCTTGGAGAGCCGGGGTGAAGGGATAGCGAAAGCCTTGGTCAGGACTGTCCTCCAGTTTGCGCGGGACCAGGGCTACAGTGAAGTTGTCCTCTCCACCAGCACAATACAGCACTCCGCTCTGGCCGTCTACCAACACCTCGGCTTCCAAAAGACACACCAGTACTTCCATTCCAAGATGTGGGCGCTAATGTCTATCCCTATGATTCAATTCAGCTACCCGCTCCCCTCCGCTCAGGCCTCTCAGGCCCCTCCACAGAAAGGAGGACTGTGATCATTTCCTTGTGGATTTGACAGGAGAGGATGCGCTCTGTGGCAGTAACAAGCTAACGTTGAGCTCTCACTGCGAGAACACAGGAAAAGCTTGTTGCTCCTTCACATCCCAACTCAACAGGGTGGCTCAGCTCTAGTCAGACTTGTTGAGTTATTACTGTTTCATTGATCTAGTGGTACAAGAGTGCAAAAGGATAATAAACATTTACTTAGCTCATGTGTCTGTGGGTCAGTAGTTTGGGCTGGGCTTAGCTGGGTAACTCTTTTGGTTTTGGCCATGTTTACATGTGTGGGGGTGGCTGAAGTGACAGGGTGACTGGGTATTTTCATGTTCCAGCAGGCTTGCTCAGACCTGGTTTCCAGGTCATTGTGATGTGCCAAAGTAAAGCAGAAACAAGAAAATGCTTTTTCAAGCTACTACAGGTCTCATGTCTGCTGACATCCCCAACTAAGTGGGGAGAAAGGGAGCTGCCTCTTTATGAGAAGAGAGCATGGTCACATGGCAAAGGGACTTCAGGAAGTGTGGGATGAAGCCAGGTGAGTAGCACTGGGGCCACTGATGCCATCAATCTGCTCTGGCCCCCAGTTGCTCTGCTGAAGAGGAAGAAGGCAGCCAGGGATGTGGGATGTTGGCATGGGCTGGACCTAGATGTCATGCAACTCACATCCCACTCCCTAGGACCCAGTCACGTGGCCCCAACATGCCTGAAAGGAAGGCTGGGAAATGCATGTCCAGGAAGAGGAAAGGGGATTGGCAGGTTTCCCAGATCTGCCACTCCTGAACCCTGCCTCTGCCCCCAAGTGCCCAGAGACTCCAGATACTCTCAGGTCCCCCAGGGCTTCATCTTATAAGCCTCTGATCAATGGAGAGGTGGGGCTCAGGCCCAATGGTGGTGTGTGCAGCCATGCACCCTTCCCAGCTAGCTCATCACCAGCATGGGAGTCCCACACATGTCTGGAGCCTCTCACCAGGTACCCCCAACCCAGAGGCCAAGCTCCAGGAACTTGTGTCAGCCAGGCCACAAACCAGGCCCAGTCTTGCCACCTGGCACTGTAACAGGCAGAATTCACCTAAGTGGGGTCCTTTCACCAAGTGTATAGTGAGGTTCCAGACATTCATGTTTTGTTGCTCAAGACAATGGGACTTGACTCTGTTTCTCCATTTCAGTCTCTTTTCTCCCTGGTTTTGGGGTCCCCCACAGTTCCCTCTGCCAGGCCATCTTCTTCCTCCAGGCCTGCTGCCTTGTACCTTCCCCTCGATTGTTGCTGGAAATTCAACCATCCAAACCACTCATGAAACTGAGCTCCCACTTCTGGGTTCTAAATCAAACTTCTGTGCCACCTGTGTTGTGTTCCAGCTTCCATATTTAAAGGTGGGGCTACAGGTCCATCCTCCCTGAGGGGGCAGGAAGAAGTGGGGACTAGCCACTGCTCACACTGCTCTCCTGGGCCACTTAGTGACCCTGCAGGAGGAGTTCCCACATGGGGCGGACAGAAGGGAGTGGCTTCTCCTTGGAAGCACCAAGAGCAGCTGGAGCCTTGATAATGCTGGTAACCTGGGCAAGCTCTGAACTTGAACTGCCTGCTGAGAGACGGAAGGGTGAGCAAGACACACCCGCTCGCCACACACGCTCCATCTGTCTGGGGGGAATCACACAAGTGACCCCTTCTCTCTTCTACACAGCATGACCTTCATTTTCTTTCTCATCACACTTTTCAAACTGCTACTTTGTTTTCCTTTTAAAGACTTAGTTTATTTTGTCCTCACTGTTGACAGATTGTATTGGGTTGTTGGAAAAGTCATGACACATGTTTGCAACAGATGGCATTAGTTCATTTTTGGAAGTACTAGAGTCATTCGCATCTATGTTATTGCTATGTCATTTGACAGCTGACAGTTCTAGCTTCATTCTAGAAAAAAATTGAGCGATTTGGTTGAGTTTTGGAGATTTTACAAGTTGAAGGTGGAAGACCCAACTGTGCATTTTTGCCATATTTTACTGTTTTATTTCCATAAAGGGAAGAACGCACATCAAGCTTGTGAAAAGTTGCATAAACTTTACAGTGATAATGCTGTACAAAACATCAGTGCCAATGATAGTTCACGAAATTCCGTACTGGTGATTTTGATCTCAATGATACTCCTTGGTCAGGGAGGCCCACCGAGGTTGATGATGACAAAATAAAGGCATTGATGAAGTCAAAACCATGTTACACGATACGAGAGATTGCAAAACATTGAACATCCATCATTCAAGCGTTCATGACCACCTGAAGAAGCTGGGGTACGTAAGCAAGCTCGATATTTGGGTTCCGCAAAACTCAAAGAAGTTCATTTGACAGCGATATGCTCATTAAACGTGGGGAAAATGATCCTTTTTTAAAACGACTGAGAACTGATAAGAAGTGGATTGTTTACAACAATGTGGTGCACAAATGATCTTGGTCCCAATGTGATGATTCGCCTCAAATGACATTGAAAGCAGACATTCATCAGATGAAGGTTATGCTCTCAGTGTGGTGGGATTTTAAAGGTGTGATTTTCAAGCTCCTACCAAAGAGCCAATTAATCAATTTGAATGTGTACTGCCGGCAATTGGACAGTTTCAACGAATCCATTATCCAGAAACGTCCAGAGCTTGTTAATTGTAAAGGATTTGTGTTCCATCGCGACAACATGAGACCACACACAAGTTTGATCACCCATCAAAAATTATTGGAGCTTGGATGGGATGTGTTGCCACACACATCATACTCGCCTGACCTTGCGCCGTCAGACTTCCACTTGTTTCTCTTCAAAATTCTTTGCATGGTATAATGTTCAATTTAGATGAAGTTGTAAATAAGCACCTTGTTCAGTTTTTCACAAATAAAGACAGTCCTTCTATGAACGAGGAATTATGAAGCTCACTGAAAGATGGCAAATGTTATCAAACAAAACAGGCAATATATCATTGATTGATCTTTGTTTTTTATATAAATAAATGACCTTTGAAAAACATAGACAAACTACATCATGACCTATCCAACAACCCAATAGTTTGTCTTTTGAATTGTTTTATTTTAACATATCTTCTCTGACTTGACATTTTTATCTTTCTTTAAAAATGTTTATTATATGTATATTACCTTAATTTATAAACTGGTTTCATCATCTATTTTAAAAATTATTTTATTACTTTTTAAAGCCATGCCTTTTAAATTTTAAAATTTTTCTTCTGGGGGCCGGCCGAATGTCATGTTGGTTAAGAGTTGGCTTGGGAAGCCAGCTCTGAGCAGCAGGGCCCTGGTTCGGATCCCACATGAGGGCCAGTGATGCTGCGCCCTCTACAGCTAAGATGGTGAACAACAGCTCAACCTGGAGCTGGGCTGCGGTGAGTTGCCAGCATCAGCATAGGCTGCAGCCCCTGCTGCAGTGGGCTGCTGTGAGCTACAGTGAGTGCCTGGCAGCCAACATGAGTACCTGGCAGCCAGCTTGAGTGGCCTGTAGCCAGCATGAGCTGCCGTGAGCGGCTGTCCAATGGCTGGTGAGTGACCGCCTCAGCCGGGAAGAGTGCAATGATAATACCAACATGGGCCAGTGAAGCGACGTCCTCCACAACTAGACTGAAGAACAAAAGGACAGCAACTTGTCTGTTCCCCTCCCCCAATTCCCCAATAAAATCTTAAAAAAATTTTTTGTTTTGTTCTGTTGACGTTTTAATTATTTTAGTTTAGGCTTTTTCGATTCCAAGCTATATACTCTATAAATTTCTTGATGTTTGTGATTTTTATTTCTTTTTTTTTTTTGCAGTTTTTTTTAAAATTGGGGAATGGGGCGAGGGGAACAGTGATGTGGAATTGGGGAGGGGCACCAGCCAAGTTGTTGTTCTTCAATTTTAGTTGTGGAGGGTGCCAGTCACCACCTGGCTGCCCATTGGCAGTTCGTGTTCTCTAAGCTCAAGGTACTGTGTTACAATCTTAGTTGTGGGTTGGCGTGGCCACTATCCCATGCGGGAGTCGAACCAGCAGTCTTGTTAAGAGCACATGCTCTATCCACTGAGCCATCTGGGTGGCTGCTCAGCTCAAGGTGCCAAGTTCAGTCTTAGTTGCCTGCGGCATAGCCCACCATCGAACAGGCAGTCTTGTTAGGAGCACGTGCTCTCACCAGCTGAGCCATCCTGCCACCTGTTGGCAGCTCAGCTGCAGCTCAGCTCAGGCACAGCGTCACTAGCCATGTGGGAATCGAACCGGCGGCCCTGTTGCTCAGAGCTCAGGCTCTTAAGCCAACTCTTAACCAACTGAGCCACTCGACCAGCCTATGTGATTTTTATATCTTATAAGCTATAATTCCTTACATTATATTTTGTATATATTTTTACTGTGGATAATATATGTAAAAAATTTGTCATTTTCATCATGCAATTCAATAGCATTAATACATTGTTATATGACCATCACCACAATTCTTTTCTAGAACATTTTCATCAATCCCAAACACAAACTCTATACCCATTAAACAATAACTCCCTGTTCCCCCTCTCCCCAGCTCCTAATAATTGTTATTTTATTTTCTGTGTCTATGAATTTGCCTATTCTGGGTACCTCATGTAAATGGAATTATACAATATTTGTCTTATTTCTTTTTGCCCTTCACTCTAAATGACTGTTCTTAAACTTTCATCGCTTTGGATTTGTATCTATTTGCATCTTTAATTTAAAATTGGTTTTATGATAGTGATTTTTGCTTTGTCATATTGACAGTGTCACTTCATAGGGAAGGCTGCCCTCCTGCCATCCAGTTCTCTTTGAAGTCATCTCCTTGGTGCTCTTCAATAAATCTATCTTCTTTAAGGTTTACTTTCCAAAGAAGTCTCCCATGTAACTTGACACAGATTCAAAATCCTTCCCAGGAATTTAACACCCTTGCATTGCCTCAAGGCCACTGCTGGACATCAGTGGGGGTTCTCTCAGTCTGGTCTCTCCTCTTTTACTGGCAGTATTTCTCTAAGCCATATAGCAATTGGAAGGTTTTGTCCTGCTGTTACCCCTCCATGTGTCCTGTTGTTGCCAGCTTCCAGTTAAAGGCTGCCCTCTAGTACCTGTGGACTAAGTTTCCCAGATTGAATAAACGATGCCCCAATAAATTTGCATTTCACATAAACAATAGTTTTGTTTTTAAGTATAAGTATGTCTCACATAGCACAGGACAGACTTACACTAAAACATTTATTCATCTAAAATTCAAATTTAACTCAGAGTCCTGTATTTTATTTGCTGTATCTGGCAACCCTACTGTGGACATTACCCAGAATTCCAAACCCCAGTCCAGTCCACAGGCTGCCACATTTTCCCTCAAAATCAGGAAGAGGAGTATGGACCACGTTCTTTTCCCTTTGCCTTTCCCTGCAGGCTCTGCAGAAAGAAAGACTGGGTTAATCTGTGATGCTTTACTCACCATAGGACCAGGGCCAGTTCAGAAATGTATCACTATGCAGGTGCATGACTCCAGACTGGGCAGGCATTCATCACTTGAAAGCTTAATATGCATTTCCTGCAGTTGGAGAGGCTCATTGGACTCACACCAGAGAAACATTTAGCTACCCCAGAAAGCTCATCTGGGCCTGTTTGCTGTACCATGGTGCTGTCTATCAAAAATTTTGTCTTCTGGGGGTCTCTTGCTGCTTCCCAGGAATAAGCAGCTAGGAATAAGCATGCAGGAGTGCAAGAGTCTGTGACACTCAAGTATGCAAAAGATCATATGGAGACTGTTCAGGGAAAGTATCCATAGCTAGGTGTGGGCACCAGAAGGAAAGAGCACCTCATTTCCTAGCCTGGCCTTCGCCCACCAGGGAACTGCTGAAACCATTTGCTGACAGAATACCTTCCATGCTTAGCCTCCAGTCTTTGGGGCAGGAGTAAGTAGAATATTCTCAATTAGGCCAAGAACCAACAGAATTTTTGTAGCCTTCATTTCCTGGTTGCATGTACAAAATTGTCCAGCTCCAACCCTCTTAGTCAATCAGGAAATGAGCAATGTTAGATGTTCACCTTGGCTAGGGTTTTCTTGCTTATTGTTTCTGGTCCTATTAAGCCAAGAGTGCTGACCATTTGTCCCCGACAGCTAAAAACCCGGCCAACACTTACACGTTCCTTCCCTAAAAGGACCAGATCCTACTTCCTATTCCTTTTACCCATTGATAGAAGAAACGCAGCACCTGGGCATATTTACTTTCTAATATCAGGGACAGCCTGTGTGTGATGGTTGCTGTGTTTGTGATTATGCACATCCCTCTTTTATGTGTTCCCCAGTCATAGCTTCTTAAAGCCTTCTCATCACAGTCTTAACATCTAGCACGTTTATAAACTCTCGTAACTTGTTAAGTTGAACATTACAAAAAAGAGCTACTTTTTGGAGACTGCGCTCAGTGGGAGCACATCCCTCTGCTCCACACCCCACCAGCTCTGCTTCTGTCGGCACTACCAGAAAAATAGTATCCACCTGCTGGATTTGTTCGGGGCTGTATCCGGATCCCCCAGAACAGAAGCCGGCACCTAGCAGATGCTCAAGAAATATTTACTGAGTCAGAGGTTGAATGGGTTGGTTTTTGTCCTCTGTTGGCTCCTGCCAGGACCCCATCTGCCCTGTATGCCCTCCCTACGACCAGCACTGCCAGTGCATCAGTTTCTTTAGGTTCAATCCAGTATGTTTATATTCTGAAGGGAAAAGGCAGTGGAGAAATAAGAGTTTGGAAGACACATTAGAGTGCTTTTTGCCATTGTCTTCCCAGAGCTATCTGTAGGGGATCCAGGAGAATCAACAACGGATTTTAACAGTGACATACATATTTATGCTTGGAGATGGAGGGAGAATCTTCTACGTGCTTACGGCCATAAGCCTGAAAACCCAATGACCACCCGGAATCACTTCAGGGAATTCCAAGAGAAATATACAGAAAAGGGAGTGGGAGATTTTAGAGACATGGACCATGGTCTGCTGGAGGAAGTAACACCTGTGCAGGAGCTTTAAATTAGGCTTTGAAAGACAGGACATGTCATCACTAACATCACTAACACACTTACAGGCAGTTTCCCAAAATTGGGGGTGGGGGAAAAGTATCCCCAGAGTTAAACTTTTAAACTAAATTATACAGTTTCAGAGTGGTAACATACAAAGTCTCCTGAGACAGACTGACCAGCTGCCTTGCGGGACTGTTTCAGAAAAAGGATGTATGTATATTCATATATACACACACCCACACACAGAATGTGCCACTCTGTTTCTATTTGATACTGTCATACAGATCTTTGTGTCTCCATCTCTTTGCACATTGACCCTTAGAAATTAAACACCCATTTTTCAGTCAATTTTGGTGGTCTGACATTAAAAGTTAGTCTTATGTTCTTTTCTAGGAAATAAAATTGATTGCCTCATACCTCAGGCCATAAATTTTGTGTAGAAAATAACAGAAACAAGCTGAAATTTTCAGTTTTCCTTTCCCTGGTTTAGAAACCCTGGTTAGTTTAGCCAGGTACCCCAGATTAGCAACCCCTCCTTGAACGCTGGATTTGTTTGAGTGTGACAGAGGGGCTATCTGATAAGAATCCCCACCTAAAATCAAAATAATTGGAAAAACAAAAGTCAGCTAGGTCATTGGTTTCTTCAACTATTTGGTTCCGCTTCCTCCCTGTTTATTTCCTTTACCAAGATGGTCGCCGTCAAGCTCTCTTCTGATTGGTCGGGTTTTCAGACGTGGCTGATGTAGCCCCGCCCACCAGCTCGCCCCACCTGGGTCCTAAATTCTTGCGTATATAACCAATACAGACTAGCGGGAGTGGGCGGGGCAGGCGCCGGATGTGACGTTTACGGAAGCTACGCGTGCGGTCCGCAGGGACAGGTGGGGAAGGGTCCCGGGAATGTGGTGGGGCCCCGACGCTGAGCGTGGTCGGACTCAAGGGGAGCGGCCGTCGTGAGTGTGGGGCTGGCAGCCTTCGCCTCCCTCGGGACCCTGTCTGGCCCGCCGCGCGCGAGGCCCCTGGCGGCTCCGGCCGCCAGCCAGGCCCAGCGCGTCCCCGCCTATCGCACTCGAAAGACCCGAAAACCTTGGATGATTTTTGCCCGGGGTTGACAGCTTGGGCTTGAGTGTCTTAAAGAAGGGGGCCTCAAGCAGTTGTCAGGAGGTCCCTGTCCCTGCATACGCCCCCTTTGCTCGTTCCTGCGACTTCCTTTGTCCTCCTCGTCTTTCCCCCTCAGCCCTTCACGACACTTTCCCCCCCTTATTTGCGGATGCTGATCTCCTCTTTGGAGTGTTAGTCGGCCCTGTGGGACCCGGCACCACTTGCTGGCCTCAGGAGGGGATTGCATTCTCCATCCAAAAGATCCTCTCCGGAGAGGTACTGAGGTGCAACAAGCATCCTCTGCTTCCGTTAGCTTTAATGGGCCCTGGACTGAGTTTACTAATTAGACAACTTGAGGTTTTAGATTTCACAGCTTTCTGAGCCCCCCAAAAGGCTTTGTGGGGAGTGGAATGCCTCTGCATCCCTGGTATTACCCACAGCTTTTGTACTGTTAGGATGTTTAAGAAAGGAAGCATGGAGAAAGTGTGACTAGAGGTAGACTGGCCAGGAGACTATCTTATCTCTGAGGGAGGGGTTAGAGTGAGAAGCAGAAAGATAGTGGCTAGACAAATGAAACGGAAATGCAAGGATTTCTGGGCAGATCAGAATCCTGACTGAAGCAAAGTCTCTGTTGGGAAGGAGTAAGGTTTAAGACTGAAACAAAAAGGGGCCAGTTGACACCGGGCCTTGAATTCCAAAATGAATTCTACCATAGTTTGTATATTCTAGAGCATGCTGGTTAGGATGTGCTGTAATTCAATGTGTATCAAATACCCAGATTCCTTTTGGAAATGATGTTGAGTGATATCTAATTAGAAGCTGGAACCTGGTTCCCACAGCAACAATATCTAGAAAGATTGTAGAATTACTGCAGTTTGACACCCAGGGAGGGAAGACTCCCAGATTTTGTTTTTGTGGGGTGTTTTTTTTTTTGGTTTTGTTTTTTGCTTTCAAGTTACCTTTGTGCATTTTTGTTATTCAGAGAGTGCTTAGTTTTTGAAGATGGATTTGAGTAAATTGTTTTCAAGATCCAAATTCCTTTCCCTGATACAACGAATGATGTACATAGACTGGAGTTGTAGTTTAGTGAGCAGAGGTAGGATTATGAACATCCATTCCCAGACCAGTTTCCCTAACTAACCTTGTGCTCAAATATGAAAAAGTACACCACAGAAAAATATCAGTCACTCTCAGAATAAATAAAAATGAAGTCAGTTAACAATCATCATGAAAGCTCACTGAGTATACTCTGTCAGGGACTGGGGTGGATGTACGTGGGTAGCCGGGAGGAGAAATAATACAAAAAATATAAGGTGCTGTCCCTCCTTTTATGGTGCTGAGAGCAGGGCCACCTAATGATGGAATGATTAGCATGAAGGTTAGAACTGAACCCCCTGTGGCCCATTATAGCTATACTCCTGTATCACCTAACTGGGTTTTTTGGGCTGCCAATTCTTTTATCATTGTGATATGGGCTCCCTTGAAGGTCTCAGCCTTCTTGTGGGAAAGAGACCTTATTTGATATGAGCCACAGCATATGGCATTTTTCTCTTAATGTTTTCGTAAGGTAGAGGTTTGTGGGATAAACACACACTATATGCTAAGTTGTATTGGGATGATGTGGGCCATTATGTTGATGCCATCTTTTTTCTCTTCTATTGCAGAACTTCTTAGTCCTGATGTCTGACCATGGAGATGTGAGCCTCCCACCCGAAGACCGGGTGAGGGCTCTGTCCCAGATGGGTAGTGCTGTGGAGATAAATGAAGACATTCCACCCCGTCGGTACTTCCGCTCTGGAGTCGAGATTATCCGAATGGCATCCATTTACTCTGAGGAAGGCAACATTGAACATGCCTTCATCCTCTATAACAAGTATATCACGTAAGACACCTCCAGTTTCTTTTTTCTTTTCTGGTGACCAATGCCTCACTCATCCTTGTGCTCATTTATTTGCCAGAATTGCTAATGCTAGAGAACTTTATAACATCATCAGCATTAGTCATTTTTGCTGTCAGCTTTTACATATTGGCTGTCCTTGACATTCAAAGGCATGAATACTGAAAGTGTTCTTTTCATGACTCAGCAATTTCATGAGTAAGAGATGTAGCTCTTTGGCCTGTGCCCACATGACCCAGCTGTTAGGTAAGAGTTGGTGGTTAAACTTTACATGTTTTGTACAGATAAATGTTTTTCATGTCATCTCTCTATCAAGGCAGCCAATCATAGGATTGATGTTGAAGGCTTAGCAGAGCCAAAATACCTCATCTGTGCTTATTTTGTAGCAAATTGAGTGATTCAGGAAATAGTTCTTTCTTCTTAACCTTTATCATAATCATGGTAAGTATTGACCACCTACAGTTTGTGTGGCTCATTGTAAGACCTTTCCATTGAGTTGCTTAGCATCTTAGCGTAGGCAGCAAAAAATTGAAGATTTCTGTATGATTAACAGGGAACACCTCCTAAAGCCTCAGTGATAAGGAAATGATGTGTGTAATTTAAGAAGGGAATAATATTAAAGGGCCCCATTTATAATTCCTAGTCATGTTCTTTCATAATACCAGGACCTTTTAAAAAAATAATAATTAAAATATATCAGTATGGCTCTTACTAGTTCATAGAGTATTTCACCTGCATTATTTCATTTGATCTTCACAGTTCTGTGTGCATTGATTAGTGTACATCATCTTCCCATTCTACAAGTGAGGAAACAAACTCAGGGTTTAGTGATATGCTTTGTTCCACAGTTTGGAGTGACAAAACCCATTTTCCAACTCTTAATTCAGGAGTCATTCTACAACATCAGCCCTGTTCTTTTTGTTTTCCTTTTAGTAATGTTCTGTGAGTTGAGTCTTGAGCATAATGACTATTTTTTTATTATTTTTTATTATTGGTTTTTGAGTAGGTAACACATACATATGGTACAGAATTCCAAAGGCACAAAAGGGTATACATTTTTGTTGTTGTTGTTGTTGTTGTTGTGTAACAGTGTGTTTTTTCCAGGACCCATCAGCTCCAAGTCATTGTCCTTCAATCTAGTTGTGGAGGGCACAGCTCAGCTCCAAGTCCAGTTACCATTTTCAATCTAGTTGCAGGGTGGGGACGGGGGTCGGGATGGGGACGGGGACGCAGCCCACCATCCTATGCAGGAATTGAACCGGCAACCTTGTTGTTAAGAGCACATGCTCTAACCAGCTGAGCCATCCGGCTGCCCACCAGCAGCTCAGCGGCAGCTCAGCTCAAGTCATTGTCTTCAATCTAGTTGCGGAGGGCACAGCTCACTGGCCCATGTGGGAATCGAACTGGCAGCCTTGTTGTTCAGAACACACCCTCTAACCAACTGAGCCACCTGGCCGCCCCAAATGGTATAAATTCTTAAAAACTAAATCTCCTACTACTCCTCTTTTCCCCCAAACCCTCAGTTGCCCTCCCCAGAGACATTCACTCTTAGTTTCCTGTATGTCCTCCCAGAGATGATATATGCATATCATTTATATCACAATAAGTTTTTGATCACATACTACTGTAAAGCAGGGTATCTCAACATTGGCATTACTGACATTTTGGGCTGAATAATATGTGGAGACTGTCCTGTGCATTGTAGGGTATTTATCAACATCCCTAGTCTCTACCCACTAGATGCCAGCAACACCTCCTCCCCACCAGTTGTAAAAACCAGAAATGTCTGCAGACATTATCTAATGTTCTCTAAGAGGCAAAATTGCCTCGGTTGAGAACCAGTGCTCTAAATAAAAGTAAGTGTTAACAGTGGACCCCCTAGGATTCATATTGTAATTTTAGAGTGGAGAAAAGGGACCACTGTTATCTTTTTTTTTTAATAACTTTAGAAGTAGTGCCCGTTTCCTCAAAAATCTTTTATTTCTTCCATGCTATTACACCTTGTCATGTGGCCTCAATGTTGATAAAGTTTCATAGGATTATAATTACTTTCATCCTCTCCTTGCTATTTTGAGTTTTACATTCCTAGGCACAGTGGGCACAGAATTTATTTTCCTGAGATGTTTCTTTGGCTACTAGCCTTTTCTTCATATACTTTGCTGGTGATAGAAATAGTATTCTTGTATACTTCCAGTAATCTGGTAGATAGTTCTTCCAGAATGAGACTCAGGGGCATAATTCTTTTGGAAAAGTTCAGTGGAATCCTGGAATTACTCTACCAGATGTTTTCTGAAGGATCCTGTTGCCCCACATAGAAAGTGCTTTGAGGGCAAGGACCATATTCATTCAACAAATATATATTGTGCATACCTACTGTCTACTTGGCACTGCGCTAGGTCCTGGATATATAGTAAGTAAAATGGCCCATGCCCTTATTGGTGCACCTTTCTAGTTCTGGAAGAAGACAGCAAACAATAAACAAATAAATATGTAGTCACAAAATGAGAAAAGCAACAGCAAGAGTGTTGTGAGACAGACTAGCCAATATGTAATTTAATAGAGTAGGCAGGGTAAGATCTGTCTGCAAATATAAGATTTAAACTGAGACTTGAAGGATGCAGTAGAGTTGGTCATTGTGTTTGGAGTGTAGCATGTGAGGAGGGAGAATGACTCCAGAGGAGGTCAGAGAGGCAGGCAGGGCAGAATCATGCAGAACCTTATAGGCCATGGTAAGGAATTCACATGTTATCTTGAGAGCAACAGAAAGCTATTGAAAGTTTTAAGTGAGGTTGTAAACTAATCTTATTTATATTTTCAAAATATAAATTTTGGCTGCTGTGTGGTGAATAGTGGAGGGAAAGTTAAGAGAAGACAAGGACACTAGTTAGGAAACAGAGGTTCAGGAAGGAGGCTGGTGGCTTGATGGAATGTGGTGACCTGGAAAGAAGCAGATGGTTTCGGTATTCGGGAGGTAGAGTACATGGGACTTACTCATAGTTTGGGAAAAAAGGTGGTATCAAGGTTGACCTCACGTTTCTGCCTTGAGTAACTTAGAATGTGGTGGTCCATTTACTGAGATGGGGAGAGTGGTGTTGAAAGGGGTTGGGTAGGGGGTAAATTCAAGAGTTCAGGTCTGGATTTTTTTTGACATATTAAGATGTTAAGTTTGAGATTCATGTGGACATCCAAGTAGTGATGTCCAGTAGGAGGTTGGATGTACCCATCTGAACTCAGAGAAATCTGGGTTGGAAATACAGGCACAGGAGTCCTCAGCACACAGTGGTTCTGAAGCCATGAGAACCACTAAGACCTTCTAGCACAGAGGTTCTTAATTTGGGGTCCAGGAACCCCACGGGGGTTCATTGATAGGACTTGGGGTCCATGAACTTGTTTGGGAAAAACTTATTATTTTTACTAACCTCTAACTGAAATTTAGCATTTCCTTCCATTTTAAATATAGACCTCAAGTGATAGTAGTATTAATGATATAGGCATACCTCAGAAATGTTGAGGGTTTGGTTCCAGACTACTATAATAAAGCAAATTTTGCAATAAAGCAAGTCACACAAATTTTTTGGTTTCCCTGTACATATAAAAGTTATGTTTACACTATACTATGGTCTGGTAAGTGTGCAATAAATAGTATTATGTCAAAAACAAAACAAAAAACTATGTACATACTTTAATATAAAAATACTTTATAACTAAAAATTGTTAATTATCATCTGAGCCCTCAGCAAGTTGTAATCTTTTTGCTGATGGAGGGTCATGTTGATGAAAATCCAATATCTGCAAAGCACAATAAAACAAGGTATGCCTGTATTTGTAATTTTGTAACCAATAGAAATCAAGATATTTCATATCACATTACAGTTGTTGCTGATATCTTAGGGTAGCATTTACATTTATCACTACTTCAGAATTACAGTACAGAGCTGTTAAACCCATGACTAGATCCTGTTTTTTAATGCACTAACAATGCATTAATAAAGAAGCACACATCACAATTTTTTATATTTTGAAAACTGTATTTTAGTAGAATTGGTTTCTTTTGTAACTCTTTGTATTGTATGTTATATCTTAAAAAAATATATTCTAAGGAGGAGTCCACTGGCTTCATCAAATGCCAGAAGAATCCACAGCCCATTAAAGGATAAAGAATCCTTGTTAATGAGACTGTAGAATGAGAAAAGGAACCTAGGATTGAGCCCTGTGCTTGATTAGTGGAGGGAGGGCCAGCAAAAGAGACTGTGAAACAAGGTTCGGCAGGTAGGAGGAGGAAATCCAGGAGAGAGAGGTGTCGTGGGAGCCAAAAGAGACTAGTGTTTATACGAGAGGAGCCAGCTGGGTCAGATGGGTCAAATGGGTAAAGATTTGGGTTTGGTAACATGATGTCATTGGTGATTTTGGTAAGCAATTTCACTAGAAGGATTAAAGACGCTAGATTAGGGTGTGTTGAAAGGTGAATGGAGAGCAAGAAAGTGGAGACATATGACAGTGAGTATATGACAGCAAACTTTTTTTGTAAAGGGCCACATAGTAAATATATTTGGTTTTGCAGGCATTTTGTCTGTGTCACACAACCTCTGCTTTATAATGTGAAAGTAACCATAGACAGTACACTAACAGAGTGGGTGCGGCTGTGTTCCAATGAAACTTTATTTACGAAAACAGATGGTGAGCTGGATTTGCCCCACTAGCTGTAGTTTGCCAAGACCTGGCCTAGACACTTTTTGTAGAAGTTGGATAGGAAGTAAAGTGGGAAAATGAGGAAGTAATTAAAGGGGACATGAATGTGTGGTGTATATTTTAAGATGAGAGACTCTAGAGCCTATTTTTTGCTGATGGAAAAGATCCTGTGGAGAGGCTGATGTTACAGAAAAGAGAGAGTTTAACTGCAGCAATAAACTCCTCAGTAGGCAAGAGGGGGTAGGATTAAGAATACATGAATTCTGGGGCAGCCAGATGGCTCAGTTGGTTAGAAC